GCGCGACTCACTTTTCATTGGCGGCTACAGGAGCGCCGACGACCGTGGATGAGCACGGCGTGAATATCGAGCGGGCTTCAGCTGGGTTTTCTTTCTTTTGGAGCTAGCCTTCGATGTTATGAGCGTCTCTTTCACACAAAAACACAACCATGGACCCAAGACGCACAAGCTCAGACAGTCTCTTTCACACTGGGACGACAAGGGTGTAGATTGGGCACAACTAGAATGGCACAAAGAGAGTAGAAACGGCGAGTTTGCGGCTGCCACCCCTTGGAGCACTTGGAGTGCAGTCGGCAACCTCAATAAATAAATAAATAAATACAACGGACATCCCAAGCTAGGGCTGGGTCGAGGACAGACACGTCCCCACCTTTGCAGGATTTTGCAAAAGCGAGGGGGGAGGGCGCATCGCCGCGCGGAGAGGGCTGGGGAGAGGGCACAGGGGATCTCTCTCGCATAGGATAAGCACTCGGCGGCACGAGGGCAAGGCTGGGCGTCCTATGTTTATATTTTGTGCTCCCCCCCGGACCCCTCGCTCTCGGGCACTAACCATCTGACCACTCATCGACGGGGCTTGGCGAGCGGCCGCGCTGCGGGGCAGGGCTGGTGAGAATGGGCTCTGGCCACTCGCCCGTGCGGTTGTAACCCCGCATCTGTCGGACAGAGGCCTCGACCGCCCCTCGCGGCAAGCTCTCGAGCATCTCGAGCAGCTCGCCCGCCGCCATCGCCGCCTCGAACTGCTCCCTCATGCCGAGCGCGCCGCATACCCTGCGGACCGCCTCCTGCTGCACCTCGTCCGGCGTATCGGTTTCATAGCCGGACGAGTCAGCGGAGGCGGCCCGCTTGGCGGGCGGAGAGTCGGGCGACGGCGAGCGCGACTGGCGCGAGGGCCCGCTGCCGCGCGCGGACAGCGCGTTCTTGTCAACGAGACGGGGTCCAGCATCGGCACGGCCCCTGGCACCGCGGCCCTTGCCGCGCTGCTGCTGCCCACGCTTCCTGCCCGGGTTAGGGACAGTGAAGGAGCAGCCGCGCACTCCGCCGCCGCTGGGCGGCGGCGGCACGCGCGCGGCGGCGGCCGGGCCCGCAGGCGCGGCGGGCTGG